TTATTTATTTTGATTTATATATATTTTATATATTATGTGTTTTGACATTATATATTTTCTATACAATTAATAATAAAATAAATTTTTTAAAATTAATTAATTAATAAAAACTTTATTTTTATTTTAATTTAAATTTTAAAATTTAAACTTTAAAATTTTATTTTTCATTTCTTAAAATTATTTTTATTAATATTATTAATGATGATAATAACAATAGATGTATTTTAAATTTTATTTAGTTAAACTAATATAATTTAAAATAGAGGATATAGAATATAAAATTTATTTAAAATAGTATATATAATATAATTTAATTAAAAAATAGATATATATGTAGAACTAATAACAAACTAACATTTAATTATAATCAAAGTTTTTGTATTTTAAACATACAAAATAAATATTATATTTTATTTGTTATATTTTAAAACTTTTTAATATGATTTAAAGTTTAATGTTTTAATATTAAATTTAATAAAAATAAATAAAAACAAGAGATAGAATAATGAATTTAAAAGGCTACAAATATTTCAATGCAAGACCTAAATCCATACAAGAAGGAGATTTATCACCGATTACTCGAGCACTCTAGTGGTGGCATTGGATACTATAATACGACAGTGCTACGTGAGAAATCGTGATGGTGTAGTTTATACCCTCTTTGGTCGTCGTTCCTCATTTCGTTCAAGTATGTTTAAAATTATCGCGTTCTCAATGTTCTCATTGTATAAGTAGATAAAAAACTTTGTAATTACAGTTAACAGTATGTCATTTTCTTTCGAAGTAACTTTTTACTTTTTCGTGTTAATGTAACAGGTAAAAGACGTATCGAAGGACCAGGTTATCTTCTTTGTTCGAGAAAAGCTTCATCAGTGAGCAATGGCGCGGGAACTTCACGTTCCAGAATCGATGTATGCATGGCGTAGGTGATGATCGGTGTTTGTACATGTGGCATGGTGTTTATAGCGAACAGGAAGATTTACATATCTTACTGAATTGACCAGCTCGTCGGTTTTTGGATACGAGCCGTGTCGTGAGCCGCCATGAGGCGTATTAGCGGTAAGCCAAATGTATTCTTAGCCATTTTAAACAATATTTTTAACAATTTATCAACAATTAAATATATTTTCTTTAAAGATCATTAATCATATTTTGTAATCAAGAGCTTCTGTAAAAAATTCTTTATCAGAAAGAATATTTATTAGAACGTGATTTTCAACTTTTCTACAATATTGCGCATGCGCTGATTTTGCGAATTATTTAATATTTATTATTTAAATCGTATTTATAGTTTATTTTATTATATATTATATTTAATAACAATTTTTCATATTCGAACATTGATTTCTGCAAAATATATTTTATTATATATTTTTATATTTTTTAAATTAATAGTCAAATTGTATTTAATTTTTTCAAAAGTCATTTTATATTTCGTTAAATTTAAATAAAATAAACATAATTGTTTATATTTGATGTTTCTTCTGCAATTATGATTCATTATTCGTTGATTTTATCATTCTTAGAATATTATATGAAAAATAAAACAAAATTTACAATGAATTTCTTATTTAATGATTCAATTTAATAATATTAGAATTGAATCACACACACACACACACACACACACACACGCGCGCGCGCGCGCGCGCATAAACATTTAATAGATAAAATAATAAATAAATCTATATGAAATAATATATATTGTTGAATATAAATGTAACATTTTTACAGAATTGACACAAAAAATAGTAAACCTAGAAAGTTACATTACTTGTATCTAGCAAACGTGTTTGAATTTTTTCTCTTTTATTGAGTAGAAAATAAACTATTTGAATAATTTTTTATTTACAGTAAAAAATATTAACTAAAATGGAAGATTCATTTCTGGAATAAATCGAATTAATCGAATAAGTATAAAAACAATTCTTTAATATTTGATATCTGAAATTACAATTTTTCTAATTTTTCTAAAAAAAATCTAATTTTTCTAATTTTATATTATATGGTTATAAAAATTAATATAGATTAATTTATTAATTTATTTTATATAATAAAATATAACTATTTTGTCACCATTTATAATGTAATAAATATAAAAATCTAATATATAATATTTATAATATAATAAATATAAAAATTTAATATATAATATTTATAAATATAATAAATAAAAAGTTATATAAATATATAAA